TTGATGTATGGATTTTTGTAAGAACCCCCAATAAAATGATTTACTAAAATCAACTAAAAAACCAAAAAGGCTCCTCTCCATATTGCATCCAACTCTTCACCCCCTGGCCTAGTTCTTGGAACACGAGCCAGCAGCCTGCCCTGAGACCTGCGGATTTGAGGATCTGACAGCTCCTGCAACGGAGCAGGGAGCGCCTGAGACCCATGGATTTGGGGCTTGTCAGCCTCCCAAAATGAATTATTTAAAAATAATTCTAAACAATCTACAACTGTTTTAATTGGTTATCAGTATTTCCCGGGGGCGAGATCCGATTGTGAGGAAGATGAAGTTACCCGCCCCGCGCTCAGAACCAATACTGGCCAAGCTGGAGCCACCAGGAGCCCTGGTGGTACAGTGACTGGACAGCTAACCTCATGGTCACCAGTCGCTGCACAGGCGATGGACGAGGCTAGCCCACAGGGGCGGTTCTACCCTGTCCTATGAGTGGAATTGACTCCCAGGCAGCGTGGTTCTGGAGTCCGGGCTTCAGTGCGCTTTGCAGAAGATTCAAACGCCGGTCCGGCGAAGTACAAAGGATTTAGGTCTCGAGCAGCCTGAGAAGTTGCCCACGCCGGGAAGGGATGAGGACGCCACCAAATGCTCCAGTCTGTTTTCCCATCGGCAGCGGCGCTTTGCTCACCGGTGGGGTGTGCGTGCTCCGGGAGGGGAGGGTGCGCACCCTACCTACCTATCGCGTCCCCAAGGAGTTTCAGCCCTCCCCGACGCTCGGTGCAGAACGCGAGCTGGGACGCACGGGGCGCGAGTCCATCTCCGGGGCCGCCGGCCCTAGTGGAGCGCGAGATGGACACGTCCTACGAGAAGCTCCCGGCTGCCGCCACGCCTCCGCGGCAGCGAGCTCTCGCCGAACGAGACTTCCGGCCGGAGGCCCCGCGCAGGCGCGCTGCGGGACGAGGCGCGTCCGCCGCGATCCCGTCGGCCCCCGCGGGCGGGGCCTGCTCTCCCCCGCGCTCCGTGGACCCGCCTCCTCTATCCCGTCCTGCTCTGCGGCGCCGGGCAAGATGGCTGCCGAGAAGCAGGTCCCTGGCGGCGGCGGCGGTGGCGGCGGCGGTAGCGGCGGCGGCAGCGGCGGTGGACGCGGTGCCGGCGGAGAGGAGAATAAAGAAAACGAACGGCCTTCGGCCGGATCGAAGGCAAACAAGGAATTTGGGGATAGCCTGAGTTTGGAGAGTATCCTAGAGGAGTCGGGCCTAGCTCGCTGTGACTACGTGTCGCTCCGGCGGCCGGGGGCGGGAGAGGTGGCGGGACCCGGCCGGGGAGGCGGAGGGCCGCAGCTTCTCTGTCAGAGGCGCGGGGTCTGCCTTCGGGGCAGATCCACTTCTCGGGCGGCACGGGGCTACTGGGCAGGTGTCTGGGTCGCCCCGTTGGAGGGCTTGTGGCGGGGATGACACTGGCCACGCCGCCCAGCTCCTGCCTGGACCGAGCTGGGGAGAGAGTACTGCAGCCTTGAGGTGTCCACGCACTCCTCTTGCCCGACACCTGTCGTAGGCCGGGTGCTGCAAACTACAGCTTGGTGTTGAGTATGGGGAGGCCAAGATTGCTCTGCGGAAACGCCGGTTGCCTCTTGCAACAGCCATTCTTTAGAGACGACTGGTGTGGAGGTATTTTATGTTGTCGGAAGTGGCACAGCACAGCTGGGAGTGTCAGACTTCTGGTTGTCTGTGGTGTGTGTGCCAGCCGTGTGCCCGTGGCACGCGCTTGCCCCTTACTGAAACGAACAGCAGATGGAGGCGATTTTCTGGAATCCTCAACTTTAGCGTTATCCCGTTTGAGTGGGTGGGATGGTTCCATTTGGATGTCAAAATGCCTGGATTGTACCAGCAGCTGTGTATCTCCTTTCCCGATCTCCGAATAGCCCTTTGGTCACTCACGGTTCCGAAATGCATCTACGGAGAAGATGTTTTCAGGTTCAGAAATCACCTGAAGGAGGAGAGCGTGGGCAGGAAAAAAACCAACTTCAGCGAAATATTCATCGGCAAGTTTAGCTGGCCTGACATGTGCGAGCCGCAGTGTCCGTCCCGCAGCTGCACAGCTGTTCAGGAAAGTTACTTGGCAGTTGGAGACGGTTGTGCAAGTAGTGATGTAGTCCACGTCACTTATAACCTGAAATGGCGTGAGCCAGAACATGTGGGGCCCAGGTTTAAATCAGTGTGTCTGCCTTGGTTACCGCAGCTTTCAGAATCCATCTGTTTTCTTTTAGCTGTTGGGTTTCAGCTGGCCCAGTGATGTTCTTTTTAAAAAAAATAACCTGACAATAATAACAGGCCAGGTAGTCACAGTTCATATATGCTTACGTCTGTCCTATTACCAGTTGAAAATGCTTACAAGACATTTTACAGCGCATGTGTCGAGGCGTGGCAGAGACAGACGTTCAATGTGCTGTAGGTTGATAGGAATGTCAACCCTTGGAAGCACGTTTCAAAGCATTTGGAGTCTTGCTTTTG